TTTTGCAGGTGTAGGGAAAAAATCAACTGGTTAATTAAATATTTTTTTCCCCCTTCATCAAGAGGCAAAGATGTTTTATATTTTCCTTTTGAAGTTTTACACTGCGTCATCAAGATTTTTGAGTTGTTGGCATCCACCTTTTGACATTCTTCATAAAACATACATAATATACGATCGTCAAATTTGCAGAAAAATGTCATATTGGCATTTACACGACTTTATTTAGACTACTTTATTGATCCTTTTTAAAACAGGTAGTCATCGCAATATGTCGTCTTACTGCTTGGTCACCATACATGATATCCAAATAAAGTGTAAGTATTATGGTTTTGAGAATCTTATCATAGAATTGATACCTCGCACGATCAAGTGTGTACAGGGTGTCCCGAAAGTATGCCCCCCCCCCCTAGGCAGACATATTCCAGTGTCCTCAAAGTATGTGTCATATATCATTTTAAAGCTCATCCAAAGTTACATTGATTTGCCAAGTATCATGGTTTAACTCCCAAATGGGAAAAAGTTACAGTCATTTTAAAAGTTAGTGTTTTGTCAAAATAAAGTTCAATTTTAGACCACATTACTAGTCAATGAGCCCCCCCCCCCCCTTGGCCATGTTAACAGCAGCAATTATTAGGAATTTTATATCCCTCTTAAAACCTATTAAGGCACTTTAGAAGAGTTTACTTAGAGTTTCTATCCTCACCGTTCTCTTTTTCTAACTCAATATCCATCTGACCCGAAATGAATTGCTGCTGTTAAATGGCCCGGGGGGACACATTGACTAGTGATTTGGTGTAAAATTGAACTTAGTTTTGACCAAACACTTAATTTTTTCACATTTGAGAGTTAAACCATGATACTTGGCAAATCAATGTAACTTTGGATAAGCTTTAAAATGATATATCACACATACTATGACGACACGGGTATATGTCTGCCTAGGGGGGGGGGCATACTTTCGGGACACCCTGTATATTCGTTATCAACGATATCGTTGAAAAAAAATAAGTACTATGAAGTATGGACCTCGTTTAGGAGTAAACAAAATGTTTCTTAATCGTAAGCCGAAATGTGCAGTACTTCAATGTGTACTCATACTCACGAGTATACTATTTCTTGGATTCGTTCTAATCAAATCGCAGTTCAATCTTGCTTCGACGGATAAAAACATTCCGGCAAAGAATAAGATTGGATTTGAAAATAACGGACGCCATTTGTACAAAAGAAGTGGACTTAGAGTTAACTTTGAAACAAATAACTTGGACCTGAGGATAATAGTGATAACCTATAATCGTCCCATGTCAATGCTTCGATGCCTTAACTCTCTAAATGACGTTGATTATGTTGGTCATCGGGTCAAGTTAGATATATTCATAGACCGATCGTCGGAATCTAAAAAAGTTGACCAAGAGACATATTCGATTGCGAAGGCGTTTTCTTTTTTGCATGGCGAGAAGACGGTGAATGTTCACAAAAAGAACGTTGGGTTGTATGGACAGTGGCTGGACACATGGCGACCAACAGAAGACAATAAAGAGATTGCGGTTATATTGGAGGACGATATGACGGTCAGTCCATACTTCTATAAATGGCTCCGAGCTGCGCATGCGCACTATGATACAAGGGCTGATGTGAGCGGTTATGCTCTTGCTAACGTTTATCAACTAGCAGCAGCGCCAGGTGGTATCGTCGTTCCTCTCAATTACACAGCATATATGTATGCCATCCTTGGATCATGGGGATTTTCACCCCACAGGGACAGGTGGCAAGAATTCCTTGTGTGGTATGATTCAGCGTCTACCAACGCATCCTTTAACCCATACGTGGAAGGCATTCGTCACACGGAATGGTATAAATCGTTTCAGAAGACTAACTCTGAAGGATCGATGTGGACAATGTGGCATATTTATTTCAGCCATATACACAAGTTATATTGCGTATTTCCAAATTTACCCGATCGTTACATGTTCGGCCAAAACCATCATGAGGCAGGACTTCACTATTCAGGCAACGTTAAAGCCGATCAACTTGACAAACTTGTTTCAAAATCTAACTGGAACCCCGATTTTTTGAAAATGCCCAAGAATGCAATCAAAGTAGATTATTATGGTCGCATATCATTCAGATAATCACTACCTTACCTTTTACCGTTTAGAAACTATTTTCCGCTTCTAACCTCCCATTCCATGATTCTATTTTAAGGTTATATTATGTCGGTGGATAGGTATGGAGCAACACCTTCCCTAGGGATTCTCTCTAACTCTTCAATCCCCCGAAGCACACATAACCTCATCTTAGTATGACAGTTCACTTACCGATGGTTCAAGCACTGGAGTATTGTCAGTTAAAAGCAATTATCAAATGCACGTATTTACGAATGTCTAATTCTACAAAGTTCATCTGAAAGTATTAGAGGAAATTGGGTGTATTGTTTTTTATTGTTTTGTGTATGAAAAATATTTTATAAAGAGAAATGTATGAAATGATGTTGTCTGTAACAATTTTTCTAGCGATGTATCAAAATCATTATTAAAATCAATAAGATAAGCATTTGATAGTTTATACTGGTCAGTAACTGGGATATTTTTGACAGATACTTTTAATGTTGTGAACTCAAGTGCAGCCCTTACGTTGAATAAAAATTGCTTGTAAAGACGGGCTTGTATTCATCACGATTTTCTATGTTAAAATAAAACCACGTTTCTGACATAACCACCCTATGCAGACAGAGCCTGTGGGAAATATTGGGTGCGGCGCAAATGAGCGGAGGGTGCGGAGCTAACGGTCATTTTTGAATTTAAAATTGGGATATTTCTGAAACTAAGCCGTTTTGGGACTTCAAATATACCAAGATATGTGTATTTGACACCAAATATCAATAAAATTGTGAAAATAGTAGTGCAATTCATTTTATAGCGACGCAGTATGCCTCAAACATTTTCCAGACCTATATATTTTGAGACTATCCTTTTAATACTGCGTCCCCAGCATTCATAAAAAATGGTGTTCAAGATACACTACCCATGCAAATTATTGTTGCATCTTGGAAGCCAGGCAGTATCTGTGTGATTTTATAAAAATTCGGAAATGTTCTTCAGATATGAGCCCCCTCTAAGATGAGCCCCCTCTTCCAAGATGCAAAAATAATTTGTATAGATAGTGTATCTTGAACACCATTTTTTATGAATGCTGGGGACTCAGTATTAAAAGGATAATTTCAAAATATATAGGTCTGGGAAAGGTTTAAGGCACACTGCGTCGCTATAGAATGAATTGCGCTACTATTTTCACAATTGTATTGATATTTGGTGTCAAATACACATACATATCTTGGTATATTTGAAGTCCCAAAACGGCTTAGTTTCAGAAATATCCCAAATTTAAATTAAAAAATGACCGTTAGCTCCGCACCCTCCGCTCATTTGCTCCGCACCCAACATTTCCCACAGGCTCTGTCTGCATAGGGTGATAACGATAGCATAAAATGTAAGTGGTTAAAACTTTATATGGTGGCTTTAAATACTATATTTTATTTCATCGCTTGGACGTATGCAGAAGTACCCTTTTGGAAAGCTTCGAACGGCTTCAGAAGCTGTTGACGTTCCCAATCGCAAGAATTGACAATTTATCCAATTCGCAAGGCTGGGTTTAGTGGATTCCACCTGGTGAAATCGATAAAATAATATATAATTCAGTATAATACAGTAATAATACAGTACAATACATAAGGGTTATGTACTGGGAGGTTTTGGATACAGGGTTTATCCCAAGGGAAATATGGAGATAGGGAGATACACATATTTCCCGCGGGATAAACCCTGTATCCAAAATTCAAAAGATCCAAAATTCCAAAACAAACTTAAGGTACTAGGCGGTTTTTTGGTCTTAAAGTTTGCGAGATTTTCAAAAAATTAAAAAAAAGAAAATGTGAAAAATAATATTGAAAAAAAAATTGAAAAAAAATTTGAAAAATGTGAAAAAAAATTTTGACAAAGAATGTGAAAAAAAATTCAATTTTTTTTAAAAATTTTTTTAATTTTTTTTTTCAGGAGCGGGACGACAGGGATGGATACATCGTGTATCCATCCCGGTCCCTAGATACACTATATATTCCCGCTCGTTATTGACAGTGTTACATAACCAACTCATTTCTAGATATGCTTCAATATACACATTCTCCAAATCCAATTATCTCAATTAGAAAATGTAGCAGGATGTATTATTCCCGGTGAAATACTATTTTTAGAATTATTTGTGCAAATTTATATTTATTCAGCCTTTCCATAATATTATTTGGTCATATTTATTAATCCAAAATGATAATTGCAATTTATTTAGAATTATTTCTATTTTGAAAAATATTAATTCCTCGTATTTTCCAATCCAAACATATTATATTGTTTATTTGGGTTCTCAAAAATATCATACGCGATTATTCTTGTCCAACGTGATGTACAATAAAACTGGTTAATTACTTTTCCAAACAAAACAAATAATGCACAGCATGGCTGTAAATAAGATTAACCGTCCTACTAGCCTGCCCATCTTTATTCATTACAACAATGTCATACATCTTTCGTTTTGATTGTTCTATTTCTATTTGAAAAGTATTTACAAAAGCACATTTAAGAAAGAAAGGAATTTAACATGATTTTAATTTATGTTAATAGGTAATTTTCTGTTGATATTCAATATTAATCATATGTATTTAAATCTAAGCAAAAGGTCGAAAAAATAGAGGATATCCTATGATTTATGAGTGATATGATTTTTATCCACGAATGGATGTGATATCTGCACGAGCGAGCGTAGCGAGAGAGTGCAGATATCAATATCCATGAGTGAATTAAAATCATATCACGAGTAAATCATAGGATGTTCTTTTTATTCCATAGCTATCATCATAATCCTCGGAAATTAAGTGATTTAAATCGAATTTTCCAAACGATCCAGCGATGTTGACACTTAGCCTCGTTTTGAGTCTGAAGTAGCAAAAATCCATAATTCATAGCATACGGCGCCGTGGCCCGTATGTCATGGCTAGAACACCGTATGCTATGGTTAAGAGAAAATTTGTCAAAAATATCATATTTTACCACTGATTACAAAAATACCGCTTTTATTTTGATATGTTATCCTATGAATATCATGCTAACTATGGAATAAAGTTGAATATAAGTGACAGACTCTATGTGAAAATAAGTCACTATGTCTTCACTACGTGTATATTGCATTTGGTAAACATACCGAATCTTGCACCCTTTGTAATATATTTGGAATGGAGAAAGCAACGCCCTCCCCCTCTCCCCTTTGCTACCGGTCTGTATCAGATTCAGCTAAATATTAACAGTTCTCTGTCACGACTGGTTTTATGTGGTTGGCGAAGTAAATATAGGAAGTTGTTTGTACCTCTGTAAGAGGGGCCATTACATTTTGCCTGGTCTAAACGTAATGTGAAAGAGAAACAGTGGAGTAACAATATGAGGAAAATCCCTTGATTATGAACTAGAAAATTTACTTTTGGTTATATCCGAAATTTAACAAAATGTGTTTAATAGCGCGAGGGACATTTCACAATAAAATAAAAATATGAAAAACTTAATTTGCAAATTACATGTTGGTGAAAATTAGAACCGTTGGTTGTAGGAAATTAATCCATTAACTCTAACGAACGGATTAGTTATCATTGTTAACGAAACTTATTTCATAGAAATTGAATAATGGGGATTAAAGTTCTACTTATTATATTGCTCTGACATATATCATATATTGATAAGCTTGGCCCCAAATCACATAACAGTGCTTAGTTTGGTGAAAACCTGTATGATTTTGAAAGAATTTTGGCAAGGGGAGGGGTATTCATTCGAATTCGATGTGAGGAGGCCTTTAGACTATGTTTGAAAGGAAGGATTAAGAGTCTCATACTGCAGTTTTTCTAAAAACATTAAAACATTAAAAGTTAAATAAAAATACCTCACTGTCGGTAGTTTTTTCATTTATTTATTTGGAATTACAGTTTTATAGCAGTGGCATACTAACATTAGGAGCATTAGGTCAAATATTCATTAAAATGATTAAATCTTTAGTTAAAGCTTTTTTGATCATCTTTTAAATGTTTTTTTATTATATGTTGGTTACCGCCATAATTGGCGAGCATTACCTCATTGGTATATTCCGTATTTTACGTATTTTACACTCGAAGACAAAGCCAGAAACCCCTCCTCGGAGGAGCCCTGTGTTCTTTTGTGTGCACAGGTACACAGACATACAGGTACACACCACAGCCTTTTATACGATATTCTTCCTTGCCATGTCTGAAATGCACACATAAATGGACTATCCTATGGTTTTTCAAAATTATCAATTGTGATCTCTCATGGATATCAACATCAACTCATAAATGATAATCTTCCAAAACCATAGGATATTCCTATAATATTCTATATTTGGGCTTAGCTTCGTTTCGGCTATAAATACACAAATCGTCCTATCTGCCTTTTCAGATTTATTTACAAAGCAACACTGAGCAACATTAGATATCAAAGGACCATGGAAGGTATCGCAACATATTTAAGACAGTCATATGTTGGATTGTGGCTATTTTTGAGGATTTAAAAAAGTGAATATGTTAGGCCAATACTATCTTTCATTTGTTCAGTGACTTTTAAGCCTAATACTAAATTGTATAATACAGGGTGGTCAAAAAAATGGGACACTCGTATTTCAAAAATAAATATTGATTTTCTTGATGAAAGCATGTCCATTGGACAGGGAATTTACTCATCTTCAATTTGGTATATCATAAGTTCAAATTTATTATAATGTCTGTCAACCAGCGTCCATAATATAAATGACGTCATTTTCGTTTTAAAACGGGTTTTCCAAAACTTGCAAAACCAAGTTTTATTGTCAACTTTATTCACATAAACAGACGTTCAGTATGTCCGCCATTTTGATCAATTGTAGCCCTCAATTTTGGCCTAAACTGGTCAATAGCATCATTGATATGCTGTTGAGACAATGAATTTCACTTCTCAACAATTCTATCCTTAGTAAGGGACTGAGTAGTCGAAGGGGTTTATGATAAACCAATTCTGTTAGTTCTCGTAATATGTGGTTGTCGCAGACATTGATATCGGATGATCCAATTATGTTATTTTTGGACCATTCAGATATGAGCTCATTTTGGAATCATTACATTTTTCAACAAGATGGGGCTCTAAGCAATAGATCCCACAAGAGTGTCAAATGTTTAAAAGAAAATGTGCCTAGATTCACCCCCCCCCCTTGTTCATTGCCTCCCCAGATCACCTGATCACCCAACGTCTGCGACTACCACGTATGGGGAGAACTAACAGAATTAGTGAACCATAAATCCTTTACATCTTTTCAGTCCCTGAAGGACAGAATTATTGAGAAGTGAAATTCATTGTGTCAACAGCATATCAATGATGCTATTGACCAGTTTAGGCCAAAATTGAGGGCTACAATTGATCAAAATGGTAGACATATTGAACATCTGTTGTAAATAAAGTTGACAATAAAACTTGGTTTTGCAAGATTAGGATAACCCGTTTTGAAACGAAAATGACGCTGGTTGACAGACATTATAAAAAATTTGAACTTATGATATACCAAATTAAAGATGAGTAAATTTCATATCCATTGGTATATAATATGACATGTTTTCGTCAAAAAAATCAATATTTATTTTTGAAATACGAGTGTCCCATTTTTTTGGACCACCCTGTATATGGTGACACGTGGTATGATATGACACATGATGTGAGATATGATATGATACAAGTATGTATCTGGCATTTCCCAATATTGCTTTTGATGTTCTTGATTTTCTATCAGGATATCATCAAAATTGTGAATTTGAGGATATTTATTTCAGACCTATTTTATATCTATCGAAATTGGTTCAAGAATATCAAAAAACGAAATGCAAAAATAATTGAAGGATTTTCGGAAAATTTAAAACTTCACCAAGTTATTGACCTAGATAATAATTTGACCTTATTTCCAACGAATGTGTACTTGATAGAAAACAAGAAATAATGATAATGATAAAACAAATAGAGACCCCATGGAACCTCCTAACAATAAAGACAAACACTTTATTCGAATTACTTTTGGTAAAAAGCAAGAAATGTGTAATGGTAATCTTATTATTGGCTTAAAGCCCATGATTCTACGGAATGAATTTTATTTCATTTTGTATCTTAATACTGGCATTACACTTAATTTATTATTTAGGGTATAAAAGCGAAAAATGCTAGCTTTAATCTTATCATCCAAAAGAGGTATATAGCACCACTTCTGCTGAAAGATTTATATGTTTACTTGTGTTTGTATTTAAATAAAGGTGTTTAGAGTGTACTGAATTTGTATTATTTATGACTCAAAACATTTTTATTGAAGTTATCTAATGATATATAAGTGAACTAAATCTCATAAAACTTCTCATAAATCTTATGAGAAGTGAAACATATGGCATTATTACCACCTTGCCGGGCCAGTTCTAGGGATTTTAGTGCTACTTTAGAAGGCATTCATTTTACTATATCGACCTGAGAAATGTGAGACGTCATGGTGGTGGTCCATATGGACCGGTCTAGAATATATTCTGGACCGGCAATTTTTCCCCGGGAAATTAGATATCGTTCATTGCGTAAGATTTTCTTGCTATTTCAGCCCTGGTACGTCATTTCTGCGAGCCTTCGGCCCTCGGTCCAATATTTCACTATATTGCCCTTAGAAATGACATTATTGTATTACTATTCATCAATAATTATTTATTATTTTATTGATGATTATAAATCTTACAGACGTTATCTATTAATATATAAAACTAGATCATGAAAATTCACTGAAAAGTATCCACACGTTTCCTATTTATTTCAACACACACTATATAATATTGTTATTGCTTTTACTTGGTGGCGACTGGGAGTCTTCCAATTTTTTGTTCTTGAATTATTACATATCCTAATTTGGATTAATTCCTAGTGCCACTTGAAACTTACATCAACATTAATCTTGGAAACAAATCACTTTTTTAAGAAATCCTCATCTAGTAAACAGTAAGATAAAATCAATATATTTAGAAAAGATAAAGGGATGCGTAGGATGTAAATTGATTTTGTTTGACAAAAAAAAACGATTGAGAAAACCGATTGCGTTTCTCGTACATGTACTCTTCATGAGCCAAAGTTGACCTACCTATTGAACTAACCATACATACAATGCTGGATGATGGTGAACAAGATATTACATGTAGTGTACTAACACATGTAATAATAAAAGCAGTATATTCATTTTTTTAAATCAGATAAATTAATATTTTTTCATGGAAAAACCATAATGTGCGTCCCTTTGGACTATAGATCTTGCAAGATTTACATAGCACAACGAAAAATCTTTGCCTCGTTCAGCTAGTATTCTCGTTTCAACCTTACCCCCTGGCCTTATTGGCATGGAATTGTATATTGATTTCTCGAGGATGGGTTTTCTTTTGAGTTGCAACTCCCAAGTGTAAATATATATAAATGTATTTTCATCATGCAAGTAAAACTGTTACATATTAATAGAGAATCCACTATTTTCTCGCCAGTTAAGTACATGTTGCAAACATCAAAAAGATACGAAATAGATACTAGTATGCTCAACTGTAAAACTGTTATTCAAAAACATAGGTGGAAGAACATTATGTTAAAAAGATAACAATCTGTCAAATGCAAATGTTGTTTTTTAGATCCCTTATGTACAAAGATCTTAGCTAGAATGGGAAACGTTGAAGTACTGAGGCCAAATATATGGTGGAGAGTTGCAAGACTTTATCCTATTGCTTTAAATGGTTGCAAAATAATGGTGAAATTGCTAACAGATGAACATTCGCTCAGCTAAAAATACAGAAGTTCTGAAAATAAATTATTTCTATGTTTAAGTGCATAAAAAGAAGACGGTATTTTTTTACTTAAATGCACATAATGCACATAAAACTGATTGTTATTAAAAGTACAATGTAGCTCGTGGAGGTCGTTCTGTTCATATTTCAGGCGATGTTCACTAAGGAGAGTCGCACCCCTTTGATGAGTCTCAACTGTGATGTCAGCGGTGGGATATACAATGACCCTTTGGACCTACATCTAGTTCCACATGCAAACAGAGTGTTTGGGCGTAACTTTCACTTGCAACACGGTGAAGCTTATGCGCATAATAGCTGCATTATGCAGGATTTCCCAGGGCAGGCAATGTGGACCAGCTACCATAGACACCAAAGTCACCTGATCAGGCTCCTGCAGTACACATGTGGGATGAGACTGATAGTGGAATTTGTGACACGGATTCCCTCAAAATTTAGCAGAGTTATATACTCCTCTGATTGAGTAGTGGGACTTTATTTCGCGTAGACAGGTCAGACATCTCATTGACAGCAGGCCCCGCAGGATGTATGCTCTGATTGCAGCACTAGGAAGACATACTAGTCCATGGTATGAAATCTCTAGGACGTCTAATAAAGGAGTTGGTAGCACACTATAGCGCAGCGATATTTGACCTTACATTAACATACCTACATATGTCCCCTAATAATTTTTATTAGAACCGTTCAATATACTTCCGGCTTTTAGGCTGAATTATGCCTGCCATTAACAGAGGTAAAAAAAATCACCAAAAAATAAAATCCCAATTTTTCACAATTTGGAGTACACAATGCAACAGAAAATAATACAAAATGATTTTAAATATATGATCTAGGTTTCTAAGCTATAAGTTTGAGGTTATTATGTAATCAGTGTATCGACGTTTTGTATTGTTTCTCAGATATTAATAAGATAAATGCTACAAATGAATCACTTTTATATTGGAATGACAATTGTACAAATGTATAAATTATGCTACTTTTTCACAAAATGGCTCTCAATACGTTTTGAGATATGGACTTTTATTCAGCGGTGAAAATTATCAATAAAGGCTGGCCTATTGCTCTTTCTTGACTCATTGGGACTACAGCTAAACTTCTATTTCCCGTAGTTAGATATAGCTCAGTTGCTTATAAAACAACCATCAAGACTTGATCGAATTCATGAATAATTGAGAAAAATCGTTATCATTTGATTGTATCCAGCGGTAAGGTCAAAGAAGAAACAGCCATCAGAAAACTTGATGATAGCCACAAGTAACGTCGAGGAAGAATTTCAAGGCGTTCGATTGCATATGACTCTAATTGATTATTAGACATGCCCTTGGAATATACGAACATTCAAATACCTCTGTAACATTTAATTAGATATATAATCTTACTTATTTATTATTGTATTATGTTTTGTAAAACATGAACAATAATTTGTTGTTAGACACCTTGCGATTATATGGAAAAATTCTGGTAATAAAATGTTTTAAATGGTAAGAAAACTAATACGTTCCCAATCACAAATTACCTAAATATTCCACATAATTCTGTTGAATCGGCTTGGCTCATATTTGAAAAATCAAACAAAATATGAAAAACACATTTGCATAATTACACTAATTAAACACCGACATCTACGGTAAAATCAAATAGTATATTTTTAATGATAATTTATTTTTGTTCGTATGCTTAGAATAGCGGTCTGTGTCTTATAAAATGTATAAAAGTTCGAATCAAAATATTTACGTTTTTATACCCCTTGTGATGAAAGACGTTTTTCGACCCGAAAGCCGGAGGTTTTTTCAGCAAATGGTATTTTAAAAGAATCAAAACATGTACACCTTCATAAATATTGCTTCAAATGTTGCTGCGCTATAGTGTGCTACGGATCCTTCATATTCGGAAGTCATACCATGGACTATTAGTGTATACAGTTGTATCAGAAAGTGGAGTTACAGAGACACTGACGCTCAATGGCATTTTTATAGAAATGTTTTTCTCATTAAATAAGCAATGGTTAAACAAAAATGTTTCAATCTTAAAAAGGTTTTCGAACTTTAACGCGTACACCTGCGATTTCGAGAATTGCCAAGCTTTTGCAGAAGAGTGTATCACATGCACTTTCTATGTTCGCGTATCTTGCAACGCATATCTTAAACCAGATGATATATCTATGCACCAGGTGAAGACCCGACTTGTATTTAGATGAGTTATTGACGATATATTGCACGAAACGCCATAATCCGACAGACTCACAAAAATCGGTACGTATGACCAGTGTTTTCTTTTTTTATAAATGAAAGATCATTTTGCGTATTGTGTGAAGTATGAGGGATTATGTACCATGAAGAATAATATTTTTTGTAAGACGACTGGGCATACAGTACAAGCCTGTCTTTTGCATATATTTTGTTTTTTGTTACTAATTTCTGAAATGCGATATTCCTAAAGGTCCAAGGACACACATTCGATCTATTTAGTCCCTGGATACACAAAAATTGTTTTAATTGATGCAGTCAACTTGAATATGTCTTACGCGATCTTTGTTTCTAGTCGAGTAGACAAATAGTTAGGCTGGTAATAATGTCTTACACATTCATTGAAAATAGTTCACGATAGATAAGTTATTCTAAAGAAATAAGGTAACTTTTTTTCAAGAAAACAAGCCATATGCATATTTATTATTCTGAAACCGATGTAAAATTTTATTAAGTATCAATAATTGATCAATTGCTTTTCCAGAGTTTTTGAAATGACATATAAAAAAAAGTTGGGCCTCATTCTGGGCGGAATAATAATTGGAGTTTTGATTTGCAATATACTGCAGGGGAATCATCACAAGGAAAAAAATCCTTTTGATGTGAACATGTTGTCAAATGTTAATGAAGGGGACATTAGGCATGTTAAACGCGACAATCAAGATGAATCAACGGAGGTCATCAGAAATGCTAGAATTATCGCAAATAAAACTGATAATGGGATTGTAGCTGTGACGTTGGTGAATGAAGCGTATCTAGAAATGACCTACAGTTGGTTATGTAACACTGTCAATATGAATGTTCATGAACAAGTGCTTATTATTGCCTCGGAGGAAATGACATTGAAGAAACTGCGACGAGATTGGCCAAACGTCACCTCCGTTTTTTACACGATTGAAACGACTGATATGACCGAACAAGCAAAATATGTGTGGAAATTGTTCAATAGGGCTTTGTTAGCACATGCATTGCTCAGAAATAACGTACATATCCTTCTGTTCGAGGTCGATGCTATGTGGTTCTCATCTCCTTTCCCTCTGCTTCGATCACAATTTCATTATGATCTAGTCGGGGCCCAGCTTTCTACAAGGACTCGCTACATAGCTCCAGGCTTTATTTTTGCACGGCCAACCATTGCGTCGCGAGATGTATTCGAGTGCGTAAAAGACAACTTTTTGAATGGACATTATATTGCAGGTGATGACAATATCTCACCCGACTTCAATTATCAAACATATCTTCATGATGTTATTGTTTCACATCACAATCTCAGATACAAATTATTGGACTCTAACATTATTGAAGATGGGCTTTGGTACCTCCAGCTCCATACTACTGGTAATTCACATGGGCCGCCACCTGTTGTTTTGAACAACAACTGGATAATTGAAAGGGACGTGAAAATTGCAACAGCTAAAGAGTTCGGACACTGGTTCCTCGATAAAACCAATTCTTGCGACTGGAAAAATGTTAGAAAAAAAACTAAACAATGGTCATATAGATGATTTAAGTTACCACACGGTATATATTGAGGAGTTAATTAATAGTACCATGCTAGTTGTACTGTTAGAAATAATTGTTAAACAAGGAAATTTGTTTATCTTGAACAGTTGAGTATTTTAAAAACTATTTGAACAGTCATTTTCAGATAATGCATGATTCCCACGATTCAATATCACTGATCAATAATCTAAACAAATACTCATTAACTGTCTGAACAAAGGTGAGATGTTGATCATGAAATCTAGCTTTTAGATTTTTAGGACTATAATTTTTTCTTTGAAGTGCTCTTTTCTTCATTGTCTTGAAATGTGCATTTAATGTGAGCAATTTTTAAAAAGCGGGCCCGATCTTGGGATAAAAATCAAATTCTGAATCTGATTCAATCTGAATAAATGTATTTCCACACAATCACTTAGTCTGATTTTACATTTGATGATACATTTCGGTAAAGCAATGGTTGAACCAGCCCTGCACGATGACTCTTGATTGAAAACTGCTGCCACCTTATCTAAAACCCTCTTTAAATCCCAAGCCGTTACAATCGTTTTTATTAAAACAATTTATTTCATGAAAATGCTACATGTGTTACTTTGATGTTTTCTCAGAATATTTTCCATCGTTGATAGAGGAAAATATCATTCCTAATTTAAAAATAGAAACCAAGAGGCAAATATAATAAGATTGTAACACCCCACCCCGCCCCGACTTCATAAACAAAACTTCGTTGGTCATCATGTCACTTCGGATGTTCTTCAAGCCCATGTTTATTCTCAATCTCAATTGTACCTGAGACTTATAGAATATTTATTTATTTTGCATGTTGCTTGCATGGGATTGAAACAATCAGTACCAACGGGACTACGTACCAGTACGATGCATTACACTCTCTGATTTTCTCTTATATTCCGAATTTCTCAATTTTCAAATTAAAAACCGGAAAGGCCAGCGTCATGTTGGTCCTCAGACGCTCTAATAGGAATCGTCAGTTATTTTAATACATACTGAACACAAAAAAAGTGCAGGTCTGTAGCCCCCTCCCCTGCCCAAAGGGTTTTCAACAATATGTAGTTTAGATTTTGAGCACTTATGATGCGATTGGAAACCTATTGAAGACAATTTACATTTCTGATTCGGGACTGGTGGGGGGAGTACACAGGAACATAGGTGAAATACCTATAAATGGGAATTGGTGTATATGGCAAAGTTTTCTCGGAATTCCGAATCTGCAATCAGAATATAGAATCTGGCTTCCAGTTTCCTCAAAGAATATTGATATCCCGCGTGCCAAGTCAATGTAGCGCTGATTTGGCAATTAACTAGTATGAATGTGAGAACCAATCCACAAAACCACAAATATACACGTTCACGTAAAAGTTCTAATAGAAATATACCTGATCTACAATGTTAAATAAGATTAGCATACCCTAACCAATCGACCAACTGACTTACCCACCCACCGACCAATCAATCAAACAACCAACAAACCATCTAAGCAAGCATCTAAGGAAGCAACCAACTTAGCAAGCAACTAATCAACCAAAAAAGCAAGAAGCTAGCCAATCAAGCAACAAAGCCAGTGAGCAACTAAGCAAGCAGCCAACAAAACAATCAACCAACCATGCAAATATGCAAGAAAACGAACAACCAACCATTCAAGCAAAAAAGCAGAAACCAAGCAAGCAAACAAACAAGCAACTAAGCAAGCATCAACGTAATGATTTTAACTTTTAATGATTTTCTACTTATGGTTGTGAAGCACAATCAAGGCAACAACTGTCAAAAATTTCAGTAAAATTGTGAATATAGAATCAGAACATGACTTATGACATAAGAAATCAGAAAAAGGGTGACCATTTTCTTTATAGTAGCCTGGACAGAACAAGTCCTAAGTCTGTATACTGACTCTTATTTCTTCCCTTTTCCCACATTTTGCATACATATTACCAGGAGAAATCCTAATATAGAATTCTTTGAGTTTTGATCATTATGATTTATTAGTCAACATAGGGAAACTTTTGATTCTGATTAGTCTATAGCCAAAGTTTGAAATGTTGGGCAACAGTTTGACCTAATTAAAAAAATCACTACTTTTGGTGTAATAACTCCAAAATGACAACATATTTTGCCATTCAGCACAAGTGCAACTGTTTTTAGGTAATTGGGACATTTCCAAAAAATGGTAGGCAGAAACATGATATATATTTTAAATAAAATGGGGCAAAAAACAAACCCCGGATATGCCTGCATTATTTGAGATGTTTGAGTGTTTCAGTGGCTTGAAAAATGGATGGAATGGGGTTGGGCTTCCAGTAACCATTTTAATCAAAGGAATGTTGACATATTTGGAATCGTCTTAAAGCTTGCATTGTAACGTGTACTTCAATTTGGTACCCATATTATGACACCAGATGTTATAGTGTAACACGAGTACTTTCTGGCCATAGAGAGTGCTTTTTATTAAAACAATATGTTTTCTTTCAAGTGGAGTCCCAATGATGATTAAAAATCAGTACAACTCTCTGAAAAATATAGATTGGGACCCCGCATAGTCACTTTTCTAAAAATGTTAGGCTTATATTTTCTAAAAAAAGAGGATCTTGTTTTTCCCAATTTAAAGGCATCGAATGTTTCTTCTGCACTACATAAAAAACTTCTGGAAAATAGTCCATGGTATGAAATCTCTAGGACGTCTAATAAAGGAGCTGGTAGCACACTATAGCGCAGCGATATTTGACCTAACATTTACATACCTACATATGTTCCCTAATAATTTCTATGATCCTGTCCCCAGCTCCGATTTCGTTACTCGGCTGGGAAAAAAGGTTTGTTGGTATCATTTTGTTCCGGACACACTCGAGAGTATATTTATCTTGGGTGGAGTAAAAATGTGTGGTAAACGAATTCGCTATGGGCAGTTAAAGTGGCGCCATCTATTAATTTTCAAACATGGGGGTTGGGGTATAAAGCATTTTTAATGTAGTTTAATGGAAAAATGTAAGCAAAATACCAACAATATCTTATGGCAAACATAGAAAAGAATGAGCAAAAATTATTTGAGGTGGATCGGGCTGAAAAAAAGGTCAAAATTTGAATTTCACTATAATAGCGCCACCTATTTTAACACTTTTACCACAAAGAATAACTTATTTTAGCTTCATTAATGATAACATATTTTTTACTTATTATGAATTTTATAGGGGGGGGGGGGTAGAGGACATATTATGCATGGGGAGTTATCTTGTTCAGATATTGCTATGAAATAAAATAAATTAAATAAGTAGTGTATGACGTTTTCTCAGATTTTGTCATATTTTTCCAAAACTCCTTATAATTCCAAGTGCATGCTTATTATAGTCATAATGGTCATGTAATATTATACTTGCATACATCCTGATCATAGGCTATAGTTTTATGATGACATCTTGTTCCCTTTATGAAAAAATCCCATTATTAAAAAATAATTCACTCATTTTCACATGTTTCGTCTTTTAACCATTATTGTTGCCAAATGTTAAAAAATATGTGTGTAGCTGTATCACAATTCTATTATTCAAAGTCATTTATAGGATCTATCCAATACTATATTTGGGTTTTTGAAAGAATATTATCTCTTTTACCCGAGTTTAGATGACTCAGTAGTGCCCTACCCCCAAAACCATAATTAGTGAGTGTGGTCACATATTTTAATCCTTGCACTTTATGACATATATAATTCTAATCTATCTGGTCATTTACAATTATTTTACTTTTAGACTAAACAGATCAGATGCAGATGTTTCTACTGTATATACAGTAAAACCTGTGAATATTGACCATTTGAATTGTTGTGGTACAAAGATACTTGTCATCTCAAACACTTTTTGTCAACAATCTCTATTTTTTATATGGTTCATGGCAAAATACATATTTCTAGTTTCTCTGAAATTCAGACAAATCAATATGATCAAGTTCTAGGCAATAAGAATGTTGTTTTAGGAGTTCCTTTCAATAGCTTTGAACTGTGTACATATGGTTGAATTCTATTATTTATCTTATCTTATGCCTAACTTATGAAAGTGACTATAACAAAGCTACATAACAAAGAAAATCATCAATAAATTTATATACAGTGAACATGCCAACAATTACAGACAAGCTATAATGATGTATGAATATATATTTTTGCGTCATCTTTACTCTTTGAGTTAGAGATAATTCTTTCATCTAGCCTTAATCAATCATAGTACTATGAATATTTATTAAAAGTCCATCTATTTCATCTGAATTCATCACTGAATGTTATGCTTTCCTAAGTACTTGTCTTTCATTTAATAATGAAACTCATTAAAGCCCATGCATCTACTTCTTTGGTCATTTAAATCTTATCAGCCTTAAAACTGTATATTTATTTCTTATTCAGAGCCTTATATACTAGGTTCTGAATAAAAGGGTAAAATAAACCATTATTGCTAGCTCAAGTAAATATTACATGTAAGAGTGGTCTAAAGTAAAGTAAGCTCCCCTTCCACAGATACAAAAAGTATCATACAGGGGTCAAGAGTTAATCCAATGAGTCCAATGCTTAGTCAGGGCTGCCTAGTACCACAGACTAGAACCTCAGACATCTGAACAAGAAATGCTATAACCAAGTCTAAGGTATGGTACTTTTCCACCGCATTATGTAGGTTACAAATTTAGTTACCAAATGTGCCTGACCTCAAGTGACCTACATACGTTTTTTTGTGTTTTACTTTCATATTCTGATGAAACAGTTTTGCCATCTTTATATTGAAGCAGCTATCATTCCCAAGGATATGATACCAAAATGTCATATGACCTCCCTTTAAACATTTCTGAGGAACATGATACAGAATTTGATAATTTTTACGAAATTACTCAACTTTCTGTTTCACCGTGCCTTATATGTTTTATCCCATACTTGGACGTGTTACGGGTACATAAAGCCGGTTTGTAAAAACTTATATTTTAATCAGCGGGCAGATATAGCTTTACATCCCGCTCCGAGCGGGCAGATATAGTATATCTGCCCGCTACGTCATAATCGCTGTTCCCGTATTGGTTCTTCATTGTAACGTTCGCATACTGTAAACGACAATGGAGAAAAACGCAGACAATCTCGACCTGTTTGATGCTTTAAAGAAGGGAAGGAGCAGTGTACCCCGTTAATAATCAAAGATTTGACCAGGAAAAGAGAGGAATACAAAACTGGACATGAATATTTTAAAATAATTCCATGATTGGTTGCAAAGTTTCTGAACTTTGACCAATTGAACAATGTGATAGGTATGGGATAAACAGATCATCCTATAGTCGGTTCAGCAGGGGCGTAGGAAGGTGTAAATTCAACACTACGCCAAAAAATCCCGCCAAAAATATGAAACAATTGTGTCAAATCTTCTTTATCAAAACGCCTATTTTATTGTCATTTTATGGCAATAGAGATTTTAAGCTTGCAATGTTTTCACAACCTAAATGTGAACGGAAATAGTTAAGCGATGTATTTGTATGGGCGATTGGTAATACGTATAGGTTG